TAGTGGCCAGCCCAGACCTAAACCACGACATCCATCCAATATATAAATACATAAAAATAAAATCTTTAAAGAGAAACTCTTGACAGGGAAGGCATTCATTTACCAGGTCAACTCTGGAAAGAGTTATGAGCTCAGTAACCCCACTGGAGGCTTCATTCTTATAACACCAGTCCAAAAATGGACAATCTGTGCTAACGTTACTAAGATGTCAGGTTTAGCACTCTACCTTCAGCATGCAAAAGCCAACAATGCACTTTGGTTTGATCAACACCCGACGAATCATGGAGTAACCGTTGCAGTTCTCCATCTCCTGTATCCTCTGCTGGTTGTACTTGGTTAGCGCCAGGATGAGCTGCAGCGCTAAAGCCTGAGTGTCTTCACAGCTGCTAATCTCCACAACCTGAGGAAAAGGCAAAGTTAACACAACATTCAGAAAAAAAGCCTTAAAAATGCTTTGCTGCAGTCTTAAATTGTAACTTCTGGCTTAAATTTGTTTGAAGAGTTTGAGGTTCTGTACACAGCCCTCATTTTTGCCTCTGCGTGTACATTCAGATATCGTATGTGGTAAATAATGACCTGCTAAGAAAACAGAAGTTCCATCACAAGAATACTGTTCTCAATAAAACTTAAGTAGAAGGCGCCCATTTATTCTCACTGCAGGACAAAGTCACAAGGCCATGAAATACATAAGCCACTAATGAGAATACACAGAAGTATGTTTCAAAAAGGCTTAAGGAAAGCCTTAAATCAAGGTTCCTGAAGGTCCAGGCTATCTCTGCCTGGAAGTGTCAAACATGGAAGATAACTGACATTTAGAAACCCCATCTCCAAATCAGAATGTAACATCACATCCTGCATACTAGCAGTATTATTTTTAAAAAAATCACATAATAGAGTAATAATTAAGCTCCCAATTGAAGTACCACCTGTACGATGCACCCTGTGTGATGCCACAGATACTTTCCACAGGTTTTCTTTAAGAAAAAAAATCAATCACATGCAGACTTTTAATTAATAAGGCAGCTAGAACAAGGGGTGTGCTACTCAAGATCCAAGGAAAATGTTATATGGAAGAGTCTAAGCATGCACCCCCCTCCTCCTCCAGGCCCTTACCCTAGCAAAGAGGAAGACGAACGCCCCCGTCCCCCCGATTTCATGCAGGATGCCCTGCAGGGTTTTGTATTCAACGGCCTGGAGCGTTTTCAGGTGCTGAGGGTCCAGCGCGTTGCTCTGGACGTCCTTGGAGCTGAAGGGTCTCTGTGCAGGCACGGCTTTCCCCTGCCCTTTCAGCCTGATGACGGGCTCGTATATGGTGTACTGACCAGGGCAGCAGGTAGCATACACAACTGCAAGGCTCTCCTGAAACAACAGGGGTGTATACGCTTTATACATATAGGTTTTATACATATAAACCTATACACGTAGGTTTAATACAAAAAAAAAACCCCACAACCCCCAAAACACAGAAAGCCACCCACCAAGGCCACCCGAGAGCAGCAGCAGCTTTGGCCGCTCATTCCCACCTCACCTTGACAACTCTGAAGTTGTGTGGATGCACCTGCACTAAAATGCATCAGGATTCCTAAGTTTTAGCGACTGTATGCAATAACTACAGCACAAAGTTAATAAAGCACTAAACTCCACCAAGGATCCCTCTCATCACCCGAAGAACTACAACTACTTTGCATAAAAACAAAGTTACTGACAAACTTCAAAGAAAGTCGTCATACAGAGGTGTTGGGCAAATTGTTCCCCTTCCCAAGCGAGTCCAAAATAGAAAGTTATCAGCTATTTGTTCCAAATTTCTCCTATTTTAAGTCCTTCCTTTAATCAGCTTTGCCCTAAGAGGATCTCAATAGGAGTTTCATAACTGATGAAGAGACTTAGACCAAAACCAAAGCTCATAATGAAAGTCACCGACTCATTTTCACAGAGCGTCAATGATTGTATTTGGGAGGCTATTTAAAAGAGAAATAATCACATTTAAGGCACTTGAATTCTGTGCAAAAGCAGTGATTAATTCATCACTTCAGCCCGCAGTTCTGCCCTCTGGTTACTTGGTGTTTTGTAAGGCAAAACAAGCTTAAAATTTGCATGACTGATCCGTCTGGTTTTTTACTTACCCCATTCATTCCAAATCGGGTACAGTTGTTTCAGGGATCACACCCAGGCAGAACGGCCCCTTTGCCTGCAGCGACAGAGCTGCTGCAGAACAGGAGCAGAAACACGCGGCTGGGACACAACCCTACAGCAGGAAATACC